GTTATTAAACTGAAGAAACTAATCCAAAAGATGGTATCCCTTTTTCCACAAAAACTAGAAAGATGAACCTGGAAGTGGAATCCCTGTGACAGAGCAGGAGAATGAATATCTAAAATTTTAGCACTCATGAGACCTCCTTTAAATATATGTAATTGCTGGGCAGATTATCCATTGCTCAGGGATAATCCCATACAAGTTCTGCTGCTAAACTGAAGAAACTAATCCAAAAGATGGTATCCCTTTTTCCACAAAAACTAGAAAGATGAACCTGGAAGTGGAATCCCTGTGACAGAGCAGGAGAATGAATATCTAAAATTTTAGCACTCATGAGACCTCCTTTAAATATATGTAATTGCTGGGCAGATTATCCATTGCTCAGGGATAATCCCATACAAGTTCTGCTGCTGATGTTACCTTTTGGCTTGATAGTAATTTTTGTTATCAATTCGGCCTTTCATCCTCATGATGCAGGACATCTTCTCCAGCAGCAAACGGTTGTCTCTTTCAATGATTGAAAGCCTCTCCTTCTCAAGCTTCATGCACAAAAGAGGCAGAGAAATATTTGCTATGGTCAAATCAAAACAGCAGTGGAGTGCTTTGGATGTTTTAATGTGAGGTTTCAATGCTGGTTCCACACACAGACTTTGATAAATCCTGGTATGGTAAAAATAAACCCCAGTGCCAGAGGCAGTGTTCCCTCTGAGCTTTGTGGTACCTGCATGGAGCTGACTGACTGGATGGGGCTGATTAATCACTTGTGTAGCTGTGCTGTCGGGCAGCGTAGAAGTAACGTCTTAGAGGGAAGCTTAGAAGAACCTCTGCGCTACATGAGACCCATGTAATTTACGGTTTAAGTAGCATACAGTACTTTTGGGGCACCTCAGCAGTAGTGAATTTTACCCTAAAACAAAACCTTTTTTTCATAACTGTGGGAGCAGCGAGCACCACTTTCCCCAGACTTGAGTGGGCTTTGGATCAGGTCCAGGAACAGCCCATCCCTGTCCTTGGCAGGGTTACAATTTGATTTAAGGTGGAAAGTAACAGGGGGATGTAATAGGCCAGCTGTGGCCAACTTGCGGCTTCTGAGCCACATGCAGCTCTTCCCCCTCAAAAGTATGGCTCGCAAAGCCACTCCTGCTTTTCCCCCCAAACTAGGGTTGC